TGGTTGTGTACTTTTCTCGGACCCCATTCCTTAGCAGGCAACGGCACAGCGTAGGTCAATCAATCGAACCGAATGCAACACAGATAGGTAATAATACGACGATGGTAGGCCCTTGGTATAGGTGGCAGTGTTCGAGGATTTGGCGGAGTTGAATATTTGATCCACGCACTTATGGCCAGGTGGAAGCCAGCTTGTTCTTCACCGTACTGCAATTCAAGAAAGGGGGCAAGTCTACGGAGTAGATTGGACGCGAAAAGCTTGGAAGCAACCGAAATGCGACTAATCCCCTCGTGATTGGTGCATGAATTGCGTGCACCCTACTTATAGATCGGGACAATAACTGACTGGCTCCAGGAAGAAGGTACCTTTTTCGATGCCGAATGTTGGAGAACTACGAGGTTAACTGGCTGATGATAACTGCGCCTTCATAATTGAGCACCTCCGGAGGGAGTCCGTCTGAGCCGGTAGTCTGAAATAGTCTCCGAAGTCGAAGCGTAAGACAAACTTTCGCTTCACTGGGCGGATCAAGTGTGATGATCCAGGGCGAGCTGTTTGGTTCGCAGGACATTACAAATGGACAGTGAGGGTCAATTGAACTGGGAAGGAAAATGTTCGGCCCATCGATCCTAGCGTCTCTGTAGGTTGACAATCGTCGAATCATCCGCTTCGCAAATCGTCTCACTGACACCACGCTTTTTGTGGCCAGTGGATCGAATTAGCTGAAAAAGCTTGCCAGTAGTGCCAGACAGGGCAGCGGTCTCCATTTCCGAAGTGCGCTGAGACCACCAGGCTTCACTATCACTACGTAGACTTCGTTTGAGCTGCCGACTGACAGAACGGCGCACTTCATTATGGTTGGACTCCATAGGGATATCCTTGCGGCGATCAAATAGACCTAAAGAGCGCGTGGAGATCCAGGTCTTCGTAGGGGGCTGAATAAGACCAAATACTAACTGCCCAGAAGACATCATGTTGCCCTGCATGAACGTACAGTGTTCATCAAGGTGCATGTGTCAGGGAAGCTTGATAGCTCTGCTGAACCGAGAGAGTAGATAGTTTATTGGTATCCATCTTACAGTGCTTCGTTTTTGGGAACCCTCCGAAACTCATGCAGACATTCGAACAAACAAACGCTTAGTCCGAGTCAAGAAAGGTGAACCAGATTGATTAGCAGTCTTTTGCACTACCACGCCATCTGAAACTGTGTGGAATATGATCAATCTAAGGTCATGATTGGGATGCAGAGGGGGTCGCCAAGTAGCGGAACGTCTCCTCGAATGCAGAAAGATGGTGCTCGGCAGAAATAAGCGATTGTCTTCGCACAATGTAAGAAGTCTCCCCCCATTATCCGAGCGGTTCTCATCGAGCGCATGGTGTCCACCGAGGTGACTTTCGCATGACAATAGACGACCGACCCGTGCGTTGAGATCTCCCGCAAAGACAACACTATCAGATTTGCAAGCTCTACCCAAGAGCTGGTAAAGTTTACGGTATAAATCCTTGAGCGAGTCAGGACGGTAGTCAGTAGGAGCATAAGCCGAGACCACGATGTCTGTTGTTTCCGCAGGATCCCCGAAGTCGGGCTGTTAATCGGAAACCAGTCCAGCAGCGCGGGTCCGACTTGGTTGCTTAGCGCTGCATCAACGCCAGCCAAACCTACTGCAGCTGCCTCTGTGTCACCAGAGAGACGTAGGGGAACCATGCCTCCACGGTCGGTGGGAGATCTCAAGTCAAACACAGTACTGGTTTTGCAAGCGTGTTTTGTAAAGACAGCAAACATCGATGGTAAGCGATTCCAAGAGGCGCGCAAGACCAGCCTGCTGCCCGATCTGCATGAGCGTACGTATATTGAAAAAGCTAGGTGGAAGGAGGACCGAGGCTGAAGGAAGGCTACCGGACGAACCCTCGGTGTCGATGAAACCCTCGGGGGTGGAATCATGGAAACAGGGATCAGCTAATGACGGATAACAGTGATTGGTAACAAGAGAACGGGTGGCGTGTGAGGTATGCAGGTAGCAGAAGTTAAGGAAGCTGAGCGTGTTATAGAAGACGAACAATCCATGGTTTCGTCAGTGGCCGTAATACTACCCCGTTGCCCAAGCCGAAGTAGAGAGCCGTTTTGGGGGACTCAACAGCGAACCTTTGGCTAAACAGACTACCCGCAAGACAGCGGGGCGAATTCAGCGAATCGCGCTCACTGGGAGTCACTGAATGAATGTCCAGTTCATGCGCCTTTTGTTTGGTAGGTTAGCAAACGGGAGCCCAATCCTCCCCATAACATCAGCACAATTGCTGGGGTACAATGCACCACCGAGGTGCAGCACTGCCGCCGAACACTTCGCTGGAACAGGGTACACACGAACCACCCAGCTGGCACCCCGAGGAGGTCGACAAGTCTGCTGGGGATTGGCCTACTCTCTACTCTAGCAGTGACCGACACAACAGTTGGCGACGGAAATTCA